CTAGCCAGTGGCATTTTGTATCATCTATTCAGCATTGGATGCGCACTTTTGGGCTTTTTCCGTTTTTGGACTAGTTCGAATAAAGCTTCGATAAATAGTTGTGCACAAGACTTTGAGTGGACGTATGTTTTCATTTCTCTTGGGTCTGTATCTAGGAGTGGTCATATGGTAATTCTGTTTAATATTTTGAAGAACTGTCAGACTGTTTCCCAAAGTAGTTGTGCCGTTTTGTGTTCCCATTGGCAATGTATGAGGATTTCAGTTTCTCCATATTCTCCCCAGTACTTGTTGTTGTCTGTTGTTGTTTTTTTAATTATAGCCATTTCAGTGGGTGTGAAGTCATATCTCATTGTGGTTCTGTTTAGCATGTCCCTAATGACTAGATGTTGAGCATCTTTTCATGTGCATATTGGCCATTTACATGTTGTCTTTGGAGAAGTGTCTATTCAAATATTTTGCCCATTTTTAAAGTGGGTTATTTGTCTTATGAAGTTTTAAGAGTTTATTATATATTTGCAAATGAATTAGATATATGATTAGATATATGATTTGCAAATATTTTCTCCCAGTCTATGAGTTGTAGTTTCACCTTATTGATGGTGTTGTTTGTCATGCAAAAGTTTTAAACTTTGATGAAATCCAATTTACCCATTTTTTTCTTTTATTGCTTATGCTTTTGGTGTCACATGTAAGAAACCATTGCCTAACCCAAAGTCAGGAAGATTTACTCCAATGTTATGTAAGATTTTTAACTTTTACATTTAGATCTGTGATTCATTGTGTGTTAATTTTTGTGTATGGTGTGAGAGGGGTCCAACTTCATTGTTTTGGTTATCCTCTGTTCCTTGAATTGCTATATGAATTTTAGAATCAGTGTGTCAATCTCTGAAAACAAAACAACAGCTGGAGAGGTCAGAAGTGGTCAGATTCTGGAGAGATGCAGCAAATGACAATGGCAGGATTTGGGACCTGGGAAAATCCCCAGTGTTCATGCTCGAGGAGCTGATGGCTGAGCTTGGGGAAGGAAAAGCTGGAGTCCTATGAGAGGCTGATGTTATTAGCAGGGATGGAGTTGGAAGAGGAGTCTGTGAGATGGCAGTGGGGAGAGTGAGTGGAGCAGAAGGAGCCTGCACAGTGATGGAGGAGAGGCTCGGGGTGCAGGGGGAAGTGGGGGAGCACCCAGCAGCCAAGGAGGGAGTCAATGTGTAATGGTGCACAATGGGGAATGTGGCATAGACATTAGTGATGATCTTCCACCCACTGTTTTGGTGGAGGGCTGTAGGCGGAGGCCAGTTGGAGTGGGGAGTGTGGAATAAAGTTAGCAAATTTGAGTTCCTTAAGAAACATGGTTATGCAGGGGGTGGAGATGGAGTGGTAGCAGGGCTGTGGTGTGGAGTCCAGATGGTTTGTGTTCTTTAAACGTGGATGCCTCAAGCTTGTTGAAGAATTGAAAAGCCACAGGAAGGGTTCAGTTTAGAAGGAGTGATCAAATATTTGAGAAGAATATGGTTGATACCCTAGGCACCATTTAATCAGTAGTGGGAAGGAGGGGATATAGAGCCCAGATGGAGAGGTTGGCTCAGTTGGCATGCAAGAGCTCCCTCCTTATGTTGGGGACAGAGCAGGGACAGAGAAGGGCTGGGGCTGAGGGGCTGACATTTCCTACTAAGTGGTGAGAACTTCTGATAACTGTGTATTGGTGCGGGGGGAGCATGGGAGAGCCCAGATGTGGGCTCACTCTGCGTGAAGACCATTCCCCCTTTGCATGCTGGGTGAGGGGCAGGTGATAACAGCCTCTGGCTCCAGAGGCAGGCTGTGGTCACCAGAGACAAAAGACCTAGTGAAGACTCTGAAAACATTTTGACTTTTTGCAATCACCACCTGACCTCTTGCTCAAGCTTCTTGTCCTCTGTTCTTATTTTGGGGGGGGCGGTGGGGGAGGTTTTGAACTGAGGAAGGTGTTAGGCTGTCAGTGCTGAGGCAGGGCTAGAGGGAGAGTGGTCTAGGAACCCACTAGGAGGACATATCATTCTGTGTGGGGCCCTCCAAGAGTTTGTGGGGCTGGGAGTGGGCACAAAACACCCGTGTCTGGAGGGAGAAATGGATGCCAACTGTGGGCCCAAGGGTTTCCAAATGGCCGCCTGGGGGTCTCCCCAGGTATGGGAAGGAGGGCTTCATGCTGCCTTTTCAGGGGTCTGGCTGGGCTGGTTGCAGGTCTGCAGTGTTCTGAGGTGGGGAGGGTGGGTGTCATTAGTAGACAGACCTGGCTCTAGCCGGGGTCATGGCTCTGACCCAGTGGAGGGAGATGCCAACTGATCTCTCTCCCCGAGACCCACATGTATCTGCTAATAGGCCCTGGTTGCTTTTTGGAGCTTATCTGTCCACTAGAGTCCTGTAAAAGTGAGTTTGGGGCCTCTGTGGGGACAGATGCTGGGCAGTATGGAGCAGGCAGGGTGCAGAGGTGTCACTGTCCTTGCCACCTGGTCCTGAGCGGCTTGTTTGCTGTTTGTGTCTACGAGCAGGGTTTCAGAAGAACTCACTGGAGACATAAGAATCCAAGAAAGGAACCTGTCTTGAGGAAAATGTGCTCTTCACTTGCACCTCCTGATAATAAAGGAAGTGATATTCTCAGGCCTTCACTATGCACCAGGCATGGGCAGGTCACTTTCTGCACGTGCTCTAAATCCCCAAATGGTTCTTTCCTCCCACTTTATGTGTGGATGAAGAAGGTGACCTGCAGGTCAGGTGTGGGGCCAGGAACCAGATCTGCCTTACCCTCTGCCTCTCTGCCACCCTCTGAGTGTTGGCTGGCAGCATGACTTCTAGAAGCGGCATCTTGATGGGACCCCCATGTCTCTGTGCAGGGCCTTCCTCTGGCCTGGGAACTCTATAGTTGTCTGGTGTGTGGGGGCTGCCTCTGTGCAAGCTGGGGTGCTAGTTGCTCAGTACATCCAGACAGGAAGGGTCTTGCCTGTGGTGGGGCCTGGCCACACACACTACCCAGGGGGAACAAAGAGGTCCCCGTGGGGGTTTCCCAGCAGCGAGAAGCACAGCTGCACTTTACTGGGCTTCTAATAGTGACTATAGTTTGCTGCCAAAAACTTCCCAGGAAAAGGAGGAAATTGCATTAAGGTAAAGCTGGGTCCTTATAAATGGGGTGTGTGCCTTCTTTCACTTGGCTCCACATCCCAGGGGCATGGCACTAAATGCATCACTAGGGTGCTGTTAGGCTCCTTTGGCCAGAGGAGGCAGGAGCTGCTATTTAGATGTGGCGATGTGGAGCAGATGTTTGGAAAGCCCTAGTGCTGTGCCTGAGCTGATGCTCAGGTCTACTTGCAGACCCCCTCGGCAGGTGCAAGTATCACACAGAAAACCAGAGGTCCCTTCCCAGAGACTTGCCGCTCACCTTGGCTGGCTTCCCTGGGAAGCAGAAGAGACTGAGGGCAGAAAGAGCTTGTCCCCCCTCAGCTTCTAGGGTACCCCGCTGGGGTGTGAGGAGGAGGGAACAGTCCTGCTCCTGCCAAGATCTTAGGATCTTATGTCCTTCCCTCCAGCTGTTAGTGAGCTGTGCTCCAGTTACCTCATAGATTTACAGGTGTTACCATGACAAGAAACCCCGCCTGAGCCTTGCAGCTCAGCCCCATGTGCAGGGTTCTTCCTGGGAAGTATGTGTAGAAAGTCAACCCCATGTACTTTGCGGCCTGGGGTCTCCCAGCTTCCACTGTCACCAGAGTTGCAAGGGGAACTCTCATCCCCCTATCTAGTGTGATGGGTGATTTTTGTTGGCTCACCTCCTGAATTTCCTCCCTTCCACCTCTGTGGGATCCTTTGTCTTCCAACCTCACGCTGTTTGCAGCATCCTCCTTGTGAGTTCAGGGCAATCCCCCACATTCCCAGCATAGGTTTGGGAGTGTGAATACCCAGTGGGTGCCTGGTCCCATTTGGAGCGTGCTGTTGACTGCTGGGCACCCACCCAGGAAGAGCCACACTGCTCACACTTCCTTGGTGGAGGCCAGTCCTCACAGGGTCCCCTGCAGGTGACCCACAGCTCAGTGAGAGGGAGGCACACAGTAGGTGCACACAGTAGGTGTCAAATCCTGGTGGTTTTACTCATTCCTTTGAAGACCTTGCATTAGGCCATCTCCTTGACAACCAATCTGCTTCCTTCTGTGTGCTCCTTGAGGTCACAGGAGGCCCTTTAATGGGATGGAGACATTTTCAGACAAGAGGATGCTCTGGCTGGAGCTACAGGGCTGCCTGGGGCAGGAGTGGTGGAATTTTAGAAAAACAGCGTTTGGAGTGCCTGTCAGAAGCATGAGGGGAAGAAAGATAATGGGTATGACAGCACTGTGCTGACCTACCTTCAGCAGAATCCAAACTCACTTCTAAAGAGTAGCAGAGAGCAGAATGCAGGAACACTCATTTCCTGTTTTTATTGTTGGTTACTTAATGACCTTCCTTTGAAACGCTGCAGTTGTAGAAAGCTAGTTGTCATGGAAACAGGGAGTGCCATGCAGGGAATAGGCATTTCTTTGTCATGTCCAGCTGATGCCTTCAGCCTCTGCTTAGACATGTGAATTTATGTGCAGAATTAAATATTAACTGGAGACATTGCCCTGGAGAGAGGCAGAAACAGGGAGAGGAGAGATGGCAGGAACCAGGGCAGAGGGGAGGCAAAGTGTCTGACCTCACCTGACCTGCACCAGTCCCCTCTTGGAGCGGCTGTTAGTGGAAACCGCACCCACTCTGAGGCAGGAAGATGGTGCAGGGGTGCAGGGTGCTAGGAGCCTCTGAGGAGTGTCCCAATCAGAGACCGGTTTTCCTTAGAGAGCTCCTGTCCCTTGTCCCTGGAACAGCCATGGGGCCACAACCTTGCACATCTTTCTGGTGGATTCCAGAAAGGGGGGATTGCACAAATCCTGTGGAAAAGAGCAGTCCAAGTTTCTCCATCTTCCTCCCTTGAGCTGCCTTCATTAGGTTTTCTTTTTCTGACCCCTCAGAAAATGAGTTCCGGGGTGAGCTGCTGAGTCAGAGGTGGACACAAGGAGACAAAGCCAGCAACTGCAGGACCTCGAGGCTCCTCCTGGGCAGACGCGGCAAGGTGAGGTGCTTGGAAGGCAGCCCCTTTCCTGCCATTTGCCACCCCCCCACCAGGGTCTGGGCAGGGGTCCTTCTCACTTCCAGGCATGGGGCCCAGAGGTGATTTTGGTCCGGTCACCATTATTCTTGAGTAGGTAGAGGGTTAAGTGGGGGCTAGGACCATCAGTCATCTGGTCACGGTAAACTTAAAGGAAGAAAAATGACTCTGGATAGAGTCAATGTGACAGCAGAGTGTCACCTCAGGGCAAGTCCCTGCTCTGGGTCTGGTCACACCTGGGCTGCCTCCATAGCTGTTCCCCGGGCAGGCTGAGAATCCTTGGTAGACTTGGCTGCAGGAGCTCATGAGGTCTGTTGACTTTGTTTATTTTCATCTTCCCAAGTGGAGGCAAATGGCACATGCCCTCTCATACCAGCCTAGAACTCACTGATGGCCTTGCCAGAGATGCTCCCAAACCCAGGGCATGCCATGTGCTTACAGCCACACCCAACCTCCAATTCTAGAACCTCCCAGGATGCACTCTGGGTGACCCCGGCTTCCCAGGGTCTGGTGACCCTCAGAGGTGGAAGTAGGGATGAAAACAGGCCTTTGGCATTCCTTTCCAGACCTCAGACTCCAGTCTCTCATTTCCTTCATGTGGAGATGGTCCCCATCAAGGATCCTAACCATGAGGCAGGGCATGGCCACCCAGATGTGATGGCCCAGGGTGTGGACAGGAAGGGCTAGAAAGTTTGAAGCAGCAAGTTTATTTGAGGATGTTTGCAGTTTCCTTTGAACCTGGTGACTAGGATATTCTTTTTAATGGGTCTCTCCCGGCACCTTGTTAAGCACTTCCACTCCCACTTTTATTCCTGTAGGCTTGTCAGTGTTCTGCCGTGTTGGAGCCTGAGGCAAAAGGAAAAGTCGGTAGTACCAATCCTATCTTTATTTAAATTTTGGGTATTTTGTTCATCATGGATTTTTGGCATTAATTTTGTTATTTTGAAATATTGCATTAAACCGTTATCTCAATCACTGAGTTTTTGATTCCCACCTTAAATTTACACCTGGGTGAATGCCTCACTCATCTCTTCCCAGGGCTGAGCATTCAAACAGAGACTTTGTGACTGAAAGAGTTATCTGATCTGAGGTCAGGGGCTCTGGATGACATGTCTTGACAATTGTGGGAGGTGTGTGAGGGACAGCGCCGACTGACAAGCTCAGAGGGTACAGGACCTGCTGTGAGCAGCCTGGTGGCCTGTGCTCAGGCTTTCCCGGCAACAACTGCTCCGTTACAGAGTCTTCCCTCTAGTTTGGGCAGAGAGGGCCTGAGTTACTGTCCTGAGCAGAGAAGCTAAGAGGCCAGAGAAGGAGGGAGGATATACCTTTGACAGGGTGGGTTTCCAGAAGGACTGCAGGGCTGGTCCAGGTGGTATGTGCTCACTGAGCAGGCTAGGAGAGGGAGGCCGAAGCAGGGGGGCAGTGGTGGCCATGGGAGAGCAGAACATCACACAGCCAGGGGGACTGACTTTGTATGGGGGTTGGTGGGCGATGTGGACCTCCGTGTCTGGAGGGTGATGGGAGCACAAGTGCTTACTACCTGCTGCTTCAGCACCAGGCACGTGGACAGCTCAGAGAAGGGCTGTTTGGAGGTGCTTGTGTGTCTGGGGAAAGTGCTGGGCATTGAGCTGTTTATTTTTACTTTTTAACTTGAGAAAAGGAGTAGGCATTGATGGTAGGTCCTTAAAGCACTTCTTGACCTTAAGAATGAAACATTTGGGCTCCAATCACGTAATCAATGGAGAACTCTGGATATGAATCCAGGAGAAGGCTGATTGCATGGAGGTCTAGCAATCCTTCCTGACAAGGGAGGGGGTACCACTGTGCATGACCTTTCTGGCCTGCTTCACTGGATGTGACCAGATTTCTACCCTTGGGTAGGTAGAAATTCCATTTATGTTGGAGTTTTAAACAGATGGACCCACACATAGCTGCTTTATCAGGGTGTCTACAATATAGCTGTAATTTTTAAAAAAGATTTATTTATTTGACAGAGAGAGTGCACACGAGTGGGGGGAGGGGCAGAGGCAGAGAGAGAGAGAGAGAGAGAGAATCCTCAAGCAGACTCCCCGCTGAGCATGGACCGCCCCCCCCCGACTTAAGGCTCAATCCCAGGACCCCTGAGACCATGACCTGAGCTGAAACCAAGAGTCAGTTGCTCAACCAACTGAACCACCCAGGTGCCCCTATAGCTGTAATTTTAAAAAATTAATTAATTAATTATTTTTAAATTTCCAGTACAATTAACATACAGCGTTATATTAGTTTCAGGTGTACAATACAGTGATTCAATAATTCTATACATTACTCAGTGCTCATCACAATAAGCGTGTTCTTCATCTCCATCACCTGTTTCACCCATCTCCCCAACTATGTTCCCTCTGGCAAAAACCAGTTTGTTCTCTATAGTTAAGATTCTGGGTTTTTTGTTTGTTTGTCTCCATATAACTATAATTTTTAATTTGGGGGTTTGCGTGAGCCCCAATCCCCTGCTCAGAGATGTTAGGATAACCCCTCCCAAGACATGTGTTAAATAATGCTCCCTGGGGTGTCCTTTCTACAAACCAAGGAAAAGCCTGCTCTATTCAGCTGCCAGTAGGTCAAACAATGGGTGGAATGTCAGCAGAATTTCAGAGACACAGTGGGATGCCCCCCAAAGGGGGACAGAACTATCATTTCAAGGAGCCAGGGGTGCTGTGATGGCAATGGGTGGGGGGCAGGGCTGTGGGCATGCGGTTTAGCCTCACAGATCAGGGAATGGAAAGCTGAATGTGTGCAGAGGGTTCCTGAGGTGGTAGGACTCGTACATCTTCGAAGAAGAAGGCTGCTCTTCAGGCTGACCTTGATCCGGCATGCAGGTATGTGCTCAAGAGAATGGGAAGCCAGGGAGGTTGTGCAAGCAGGCAGCATATGAGACTGGAGATGTGAGACTCTGAACGATTCCACTGGAATGCTTGGTGGGGAGAAGCAGCAAGGAACACACTTTAATGCTGCTAAATCCTTCAGTGGTGGGAACATGGGTCTGCTGGAAGGGCAGACTACCTAGTGGTAGTGTGCGAGTGGGCATTGCCCTTGGCTATGCACACTCGAGACAATACAACAAACCCAGGTAGCTGCTCCTCCCCCACCCTTCCCTCCCCTGGAGAAAGGGGACACTGGCAGATGCTGTTGCTGCCAACGGGGTGGGTAACAGCCAGTTCGCTGCCACTCCTGTTATGTTCCTCTGCCCTCCTCATCCCACGTCACCCCTTCCTTCTAGGCAGGTTTGCCTGCGGTCTCCTGGGAGTCAGTGGATGCCTCCCTCTCTTTGTCTAGGTCTTCCAGGAGGGAAAACACTGAAACCCGCCCACAGGGACACTATAATCCATATAATCTTGTGGATTTAAAAAATTGCCCTAGGTTCATTCTAATTTTCCAGCTTTGCTAGCTGTTGGAACACATTCTAAATAAAATGGAACACTAACCTGTCTCCTCCTCCAGCCCAGCGCTGAGATGAATGACCCCCATGGTCAGGGGGCCTGGAACCCCCACCCAGCTTCAGGCTCTGGTATTTGTTCAGTCCCTTCTGACTGCTCCTGGCCATATTCCCCAGTTCCAGGACCTCAGAGACATTTCCAAGTATCGCCATTGGTCTGTTGGCCTGCTGTCCGTCCTTACAGAAGATGTGCTGGGCAGTGAATGAAGCCCTGTAGGAGAGGCAGTGAACTTGAGAGCATGACTGGGTCTTCACATTGAGACGAGGACCACAAGGGAAATGAACAGGCACAGAATGGAGAGTGAGGGGGAGAAGGTGGGAAACGGGAGGCCCAGGCCTGACTTCTGAGAGGCCACCCAGGGACGCTTCCTGCTTCCCAGGACTGGGGCACCTCCCACCCTGAGGCCGTCACCCCTAAGACACTCAGGTCCTCACTGACGCCCTGAGCCTCCTCACGCCCACCCAGGCTCCCAAGTCTGGACAGTGCCCTCCCTCCTGAGCTCTCCCTCAGGGTGAGGACCCTGCCACCTGGCTGCTGAGGCCCGCACGCCTCCTGCCGGGACACTGGCAGGGGCTGTAAGGCCAGACAATCTCAGCATGAATTCTGGTCTCTGGCCCACCCTTTGCCGTCTGTGCAGGGGAGCAGGGGCACAGGGTGGAGAGGAGCTGTGAGGGCCTGGGAAGAGCCCGGGAGACGTGAGGGAGGGAGAGAGTGAGAATGTACCAGGGAGAGGGGAGGGGGTCTCTCCGGAGACCACCAGGGCTGCTCCTGAACTTGGGGGTGGGTTGGGGGTCAGGAGGCAGAGCCAGCCTCTGAGGGTAAAGGCGGAGATTGGCACAAAGTCTGTTGGGCCTCGTCACACCCTGTGAAAAACCCCGGAGCGGGCGCTCTCGTGAAAAACCTCGGAGCGGGCGCTCTTGTGAAAAACCTCGGAGCGGGCGCTCTTGTGAAAAACCTCGGAGCGGGCGCTTTCGTGAAAAACCCCGGAGCGGGCGCTCTCGTGAAAAACCCTGGAGCGGGCGCTCTCGTGAAAAACCCCGGACCGGGCGCTCTCGTGAAAAACCTCGGAGCGGGCGCTCTCGTGAAAAACC